CGGAGCTTGAAAGGAAGACCAATGGAGCGACGGGAGAAAGAGAGACAAGCGATTGAACATTTGTTTTTGCACGACGACTGAGGTTCTAGAATGCTGCGAAGCTTTTCGACTTTAACAAAAAAAGAAAGCCAGCAGTCTCTTCGTCGCATCGATTTGGTCGATTGAAGCTGATATTGTGACACCCTGCTCTCAGCATCCATACTTCGTAGGAGCTTATTTCAGAATCCAAATTAAGAGCTGTCTATAAACCACGTAGATGCTTGTATCGAAGATTGTCTACTCAAAGTGAGAGGGGTCTGCATTTCCTAAAAATAAAGCATTTTGATTTATTCTGACCAACGGCAGGACCTTTAAGAGCTAGTTGTTAGCGATTCTATAACATTCTCCAGAAAACCATTCCCCAGAATTCCATTCCCCAGACTCCATACGAATCTGCCCGATCAAGGCGAATAATGTTGAAATCGTGGAAAGCAAGATCGTTGTCTGAAGAGAGCCATGTTTCACAAAGGGCAAATGCATCAGAAAGTAAATTGTTAACTAAAAATTTAAATGTGTCAAGTTTTGGCATAAGACTTCTACAGTTCCACTGAAGAACAGAGATCATATCCCCGACCTCATTCGGAGAATTATCCATCAAAGGATATGATCGATGCAAGGAAGGACCACCTAGAAGCTAGTTGCTTCAAAAGAGTTTTCACCATTGGCAGCACTAAATTAATAATGCTCCTCGTTGAGTCAGAGACATTGAATATACTGAAGAAGGTATCCACAATACCAGAAAACGTGAACATGGGGGCATGTTCTTGCTGATTATTCAGCTGCTTTTCTGGCCGAAAAACTGGGACATCTGGGGTTTTAGATGTTCCTGGAAGTGACGGAAAGTTCTTGTCATAATTACAAGGTTGAAAACCCGGTGGAATGGGCTTCGGTGCATTTCCGTTACCTCTTGATTTTTCCAAGGGGGAAGGGTGGTCCGTACGAGTGGCCTTACGAGGCTTTTCGGTGGTGTGTTTTTTTGCTCGTTTTCTCGTATTGCCTTTAAAGACAAACGGACTACCCTCACCGACCTCTGAGTCAGAGTCTAGATGATCAACTGGCAAAATGGAGAACGTGTTACTGCTTTTTGGTGTGGTCTGAGAAGATGAAGCGGTATTCTTCAAGAGTTCTGCTAGTGTTCTCTTGGAGCGAGCTTGCAGAGACGGCTTAAGTTTTTCTCCCTGCTGTTTATACCTCGGGCAGTCAGTCAGGGTATGTAGGCTTTCCTTGCAGTACACGCATTTTGGAGGAGCACCGCAAGGGCCCTCTTGATGTTGCTCGCCACACTGATCGCAGCGTGGTTTGTTCGAGCAGTAGTCCGATGTATGACCAAGTTGTTTACATTTCGAGCAGTTCATTACCCGAGATACAAACAGACGTACAGGCAGCCGAACCTTGCCAATAGCGACGTAGTGAGGTAACGCTGTACCCGAAAAGGTCACACGAAACGAGTTTGACAAGGAATAAGTTTTTTTGGAGCCTACTACGGACCACTCCTTCAATTTCTACCTCACTACTGGGTATGTAGACTCGGTATTCCAATGAAAAAAGCTCACATGCAACAATTTGGTTAGCCTGCTTCCGGTCATCAACGGTAACGCGCAGTTTTATTGGTGTTACCTTGAAAATATCGGTAACGGCCGAAAAATGTGTTGTTAGATCCTTAGAGATCCTCGGAATGTTCAAAGGTTTTTGTTTGGGCCGGAAAAAACAACCCATGGGCCTTTTGAGGCTTCTGGGTAAGCTTTTAGGCGGGGGAGCGCAGAGATTTTTGGGGGCAATGGTGTGGGGGGTGCAGGAGGACGAGGAGGTGATGGTGGAGGAGAGGGTTGTGGGGGATACCTTTTCTTGGGATATGCTCCAGTATTTTTGCTGGAGAGCGAGTCAACTGGGACGTCAAGGGTTTCCATTTCCACAACTTCCTCGAGACTTTCGTGTGACGAGGAATTAAGAGTTTCGTCGTCTGAGATGGAAAGCGACCATCCCCCGCCTTTATCATTTTCATCCATTGCGGTTAAATATCGCCGCAATGGTGTTTTTAATAAATATTTTACAAATAATTACAGTAATTTCAACTAGTATTAAATTAAAAAAATTAATGCAAAAAAAAAATAATAAAAAATAATAAAAAATACAAAAAAAATTGATATAGTTTACTTTAATAAAGAGTAATACGAAAGAAAGAAAAAAAACCAAAAAAAGAAAAAAAAAATTTTTTTTGGATCACCCTAACTATGATCTACTTAAAAATAGTACGAGAAAAAAAAACCAAGAAAAAAAAATATAGATATATACTATTTACAAAATTTTGAATCACCCTAATTATGACCCAACCTAATCTAATATTGGACCATGCGGGGAGATGCGATACTGGTGAAAACAAAGCGACACGGTAAACCTATTACACTGAGGCGGCAGATGACTGGTGCGAGGTTATTGTTTGCCTCAACGGCTGTTGGGTCGATAACCTGATAGCTGGTATGCCTCGGTCGCCTCGGTAGGCAATTTAACGTGCTTTCGTTGTTGCTATCAATGGGATGATGTGATGATGCGATGATGATGAGATAAAGCTGGACCGTAATCAAAGCACTCGGCGTATGACTAACGGCTTCCTCACTCGCGCACTAGTTGTCTTAACACTATGCCAACTAACTTTGGCGAGAAAAAACCCTCGCGTGGGGAAAAACTCAAAAACTCAAATACTAGTGTCGTACAACGAGACCGATGCGACTTGACCGGCTCAGCGTGCGAGACGGAATGAACAAAAATCCTGGACTGATTACAATTAAAAAACATTCGTACCTAAGTAGTACAATCACCCGGTCTACTGTTTTGGTGAACAGTAGGCGGGGGTGAGGAATAGGTAACGGTAAGAAAAAAGTACCCAAAATAAGTTCCTTTCACTCAACTCGTGGCTTCAGTGGGGCTAGGTAAAATTAAGTTAAACAAGAAAACTCAATTTTGGGTAATCTTGTTGAAGAATCCATTGAGTAAAAATTACCTAACGATCAATCGAATGGAAAAGGTGAAAAATACCCAACGTACCAGCACCTAACCGGTTTTCGTTGCAACTTTTTTTGTCACTAAACCCCTACGGATACCATACACAAACGATATCATAGATGGTACGACCATACCGCAGAGAGTTGGGATGATATCCTGAATTGGTGATTAGGCGTTTCTTATGTTTATGCGGGATATGTACAAAACTCTAACGAAGACTAATGCCAGGACTAATTGAGCAGGAACGGAGGCGATGGATCACAAACAAATGACAGCGTCGATGGCAGGGCAGGTTGCTATGATTTTCATCCAAAATTAAGTTAAAAGTACCCAACGGTGAAAACATAACGGTTGAGTACTATTAACTGAAAATTGAGTTCTGTTTTACTTAGAATCGCAGCGTGTTTTAGTTAAACGGAATGTATCGATAAATATTTCAGGATATTCTTCGTAAATTACTTTACGCAATACAATTTACTAACATGTACATTTTAAACAACTACGGAAAGTACTAATTCAATCAATAATGACAAACACTACGTTTTGAGCTAAACGATGATTAACAGAAAATTAACTTAAATTTGAGTTCATCTATTATCGCTCAATAGATGAGTAAATTTGACCCATCGCCGCTTTTCTGATTCACTTAACGGTAGACCTCAAACGATAGAACCCAACGGTGAGTTTTTTTTTTAAACTTAATTATGAGTATTTATTTTTCTTACGGTGTACAGACAAACATCATACACCGAAAATAGTTTTCATGTAGCTTTCATTGGAAACGCACATGATATTCATCCATAATCAAAATTAATGGAGTTCATCTGAATTTCACATAACATTTATGCGATCACATTAATTTAATATGATATTTCATATGAATGTCATCGACCACATATTATTCATGTGATTTTGTGATAGGATTTGCAGCTATGTGATCACAAGAAAGCTATGTGAAATTCACATAAATTACATCCATTAGATATGTGATAAATTTTTTGAGTGTAGCCATGGCATGACTGAGTTTTGCGATGGGGGGTACTTTGATGGGTGTGGGATTCCAAAATATAATTGGACATCGGTTACAGACGTCAATAAATAATTTCTGTTCCAAAAAAAGATTCATATTGTATGGTTCAGACACATTTCCGTCATATTGGATTCCAGGCAATGATTTCCGGTATCTACATGCAATCCTCATATCAAAATACCAATACTAATCTCCTGAAGAACTTTGCTATAGGCAACATTCTAGATGCTGATATGCAGAATATTGAGGAAGTTCACATGCATTAGCACCTAGTAAAGAGATAATTCTGAGCTAATTGTCCACTTACAGAATAACATTACCACAACCTTGTATATGTATCGCATTAAAAAAAACCGTGGTATTTTGAGAAGTTGCGTAAAAACATGTTAAAAACCGCACAAAAAAGGGTGCAGTGCATACATGACAATTCGTCCTGGATTCACAAACTTTTGTCGAAATTGTAATTCTCACGACAGGTGGATAACTTCAGTTCATGTTCATAAGGGTCAAATATTTTTTGTTATTGCTATTGATAACTTGATAAAAAAAAATCCTTGTTTTTATATTGAGTACGGGCATTAGTGACATTCACTATTTTTTTTAGCTAAGTACGCGAAATAATATGGAGCGCTGAATTATGGTGGTTTCTAGCACAATTGATTTTGCTTAAAGGAATACACTTTACTTCCCGTAACTGAAAGGAACCTTGAATAAATTTGTAAATTACAACTTACCGTTACAGTCTAGACAACTTTTGGCCACTGTCAAAAATAGATTAGCGGACAACCTATTTTTGACAGTTGACAAAAGACGACGAAAGAAAACAAATGAAAGTTGGAATAATGCTTTCAGTTACCAGAACGATGTTGAGTGTCAAAGGATGATCTCCATTCACACTACACTGCAGAATGTAATTTAATATGTTACTTACCAGTTTTTCCATTTTATCACTTCTTTGTATTTGTGGTAGACTAACTAGCTTTTTGATGAACGTGAAAAATTCCACTGAAAACAAACTTTTTGCATGTAAAAATCGTATGTTCTGTGTCCTGTAAAAAAGAAGATAAATAAAAACAGATTATTTGACCTATCGGTGACGGAAAAATGTTAGAGACAATCTATTTTTTTTTATTTCTGAATTTACACCAAAAATGTCATGTTTTAAAGTATGTAATAGGATAACTTTTGCCAACAACAGATAATGTAATTGATACGCGTATTTCGTCTACAATGTGCAGACTTTTCTTCAGTGTCTTGTACTAATACTCGAGTATAAGTACAAGACACTGAAGAAGTCTGCACATTGTAGACGAAATACGTGTATCTGCCAAGGATAAGCAAATAAGGTAGTGGAATTAAATGGAAATTACTAATCCTTCTCTCTCTTTTATAATTAAAATACTATTGATTTTAAACAAAAACTTGTTTAACGGATTCGATAATTTGAGACTGTATAGCATAGGCTAGTAGAGAAAGGTGGGGCAAAGGTGGTCTTAGTTGAAAAAATTAAAATTTCTAAAAACTCTAAGCACTTGGAATCAAACTAACTCCATGCACATGAGGTTTATAATTTCTCTTACAGATCTTTGATGAGTTTTCAGTTCATCCGTAGCTAGGTAGGGTAGAGAACTTCTTCGGCCTAATCGCCCATTTTGGGCCTGTCGAGCAGAAAACTTCAAATAAATCCTTGATTTCAGAGGTAACAAGTCAATTATGCGTTTGTTACGATACTTTAGTTAATAAGCTACGGAACGAAGTCAATGAGAACGCGTGATATGAAGGTTTGCACCCATTATTCCCAAAAACAAAAGAAGCGCTCCGACCGAATCAATTTTTATCTTCATCCGATAGGCCGAAGTGAATTCATTGGCGTTTCAATGGCGTTGCAATTGAATTAGGCCGAGTTAAGAATCCGTAGGCCGAGTTTGGCGTCAAGAAGCAGTGTTAGACTTTTGACAATATCTCAACGATTGGTTTCTCTTTATCAAATCTTACGGTACGTATGGAAAGGTAAATAAATTTGGAAGCCATCAGTAATAATAACATTCCGTTTGCTGTTAAAATCGGCTAATCTTCCTTTACGTATACCGTAAAACGGGGTATCTTTGATAATGCGGGTAACTTTGATAGTATAATATAAAGAATAAAATTACTCGCTGCGCTTTTTCCAAATAAGAAACATTGGTTCCATATTGTCTTCTTCTTCTTCTTCGCATTTCAAGCTTATTGCATATCGCATATTTGCTTAATGCGTGCTCTCAACTTAGTGCTCTATAGATGCACTTCCACAGTTATTAATTGAGAGCTTTCGATGCCTGTACCATTTTTGCATTGGTATAATTGTGTGGCAAGTCCAATCATACTTCTATGCCCAGGGAAGTCGAGAAAAATTCCAACCCGAAAAATTCCTAGACCGGACCGGGAATCGAACCCAACCACCTCCAGCATGGTCTTGCTTTGTAGCTGCGCCCTTACCAACTGAGCTAAGGGAGGCCCCTGGTTCCATATTGTAGCTTAAGGTATTTCCGTTGATATCGTATGTAGTTTTTATACAGTATATGTTACATATTTTACAAAAATATTAAAAAACCGTTTTCGTGTTTTTCGCTTTTTTGAAAAAGCACTCAAACCATCACTTATGAAATGTATTTCCGAAACAGCCATCACAAATACAATGTTGTATTGTTATTGCTTATGAAGTTTTCTGATTATATACTCATTCAAAGTTTCATATTTAAATAACTAAATTGTTTGAGTTTCACTAATTTGTTTCCACATTCATCAAGCATTATCAGAGTAACCCCAAATAAAAATACTGAAGTTCTATTACAAAATTAAAACAATAGTGCAAATGCTTTAATTTTCGTTCAACATATAACTAACGAACTAACTCTTGGATCCTCAGTACTTGTTTTAGAAATATAAAATTTGAAAAACAGTCATTGCTGTAAAAAATATTTAGAATATACTTTAAAAAACTATCAATGTTACCCCGTTTTACGATACTACTGGATTTTTTTTTTTTCCTTTGGTTTGTTTTTTCCGTCGATCTTGTTTTCCGTGCTGAGCACCAATGCTACCGACGTGCCAGGAAGGCAGCTCCCACACCTGGACCCTACCTATCGACCCATCAACTCATGAACCGGGGACCAACGGCTTTACTTCCCATCCGAAGGAAGGCGTGATCAGAGATGTTATGCCTCAGAACATCCCGGCGGCGCCGACTGGGATTGAACCCAGGCCTGCTGGGGTGAGAGGTAATCACGCTTACCACTACACCACCGGCGCCGTTGCTACTGGAAATTGATAGCACTAAGTATATATGGTGTAAAGACACCATATACGTATACGAAACCATATGTTGTTCAGAATCAGAATCAAGAGCAAAGCGAATTTAATAAGGAATTGATATTTTGAGGTAAATTAGCCATATCCTGGCCATATTCTCAATTCATAATAAGGGAACAAAGTTATATCGATCGGCACTGTAAACTTTCCTAGAAACTCTAGAAATTCACCATAGAATTAGTATATAGGTATACCTCGATATAACGTAACTGTCACTTTTGACTTCCATCGTTGATTTCTAGCTAACAATCATTAAATTAAGCAAATCAATAACACCATCAGAGATATGACACAATCCTTCATCTATGGGTCATGCCAATTTAAATAATTGAATTGTTATTTATGAGATATCGATGATGGAAGTCAAAAGTGACAATTACGTTATATCGAGGTATACCTGTATTATTCAAGACTGACCAGATCCTTGTTTTCATAATAAGGGATTAATGAAATTTCGTGCAACATGTTCCAATCGATGATATTTGTTTTAACCAGTGATGGGCAACTGAACCAACCGGTGCGCACCGTGTGCTGGTTCGTGTTCAAAAAATACTCCTGTGTTTATGTAAGCGTGTACCCTGGTTCGGTTGAGTTTTAGTGTACCAGTGTGTTCTAAATCAAAACCGTGTGCCGGTTTTCGATTTGATGATTTGGTTTTGGTTTTGGTACACGAGATATAAACCGTGTGCAGGGTTCAATTATATGTTATCAAAACCGGGTAAACCGTTCTTGGTTCGGAACATTGGCAAGAATTAAATAGCAGTGCTCCCAAAAAGGCGAGTAAAATATTTGTACCAAGCGACAGTTATTATTTCAATTGCCAAATATTTTGATAGACAATATTGGTAGCGAAGGAACTAGAAATCATTTTGAAGTCTGACAAATACCCTTCGATAGGGTATTTTTGGAGTCACGCGTAACGCCTATAGTCTGAAAATCGATAACCGATACCTTCTTGAAATCCAGAAGGCGGCATCCTGTTGCAGATAAACTGAGAAATCCTGTCAAATACCCTTCGATATGGGTATTTCTGGAATCAAGATGACGTATACATACCCGAAATCAATGTCTGACGGCATCCTGAAATCCAAGATGGCGGCTTCCGGTTATAGAAAAACTGGAAAATAATGCCAAATATCCTTCAATATGGGTATTTTTGGAATCAGGATGACGTATAAAGACCGAAAATCAATGTCTGGCGCCATCTTGAAATCCAATATGGCGGCTTCCGGTTGTATAAAAAATGGGAAATAATGTCAAATATCCTTCAATATGAGTATTTTTGTTATCGAGATGACGTATAAAGACCAGAATCAATGTCTGACGCCATTTTGAAATCCAAGATGGTGGCTTCTGGTTATTTAAAAACTGGGAAATAATGTCAAATATCCTTCAATATGGGTAGTTTCGGTATCGGGATGACGTATAAAGACCGAAAATCAATGTCTGACGCCATCTTTAAATCCAATATGGCGGCTTCCGGTTGTATAAAAACTGGGTAGTTTTGGTATCGGTATGACGTATAAAGACCGAAAATCAATGTCTGACGGCATCTTGAAATCCAAGATGGCGGCTTCCGGTTATAGAAAAACTGGAAAATAATGCCAAATATCCTTCAATATGGGTATTTTTGGAATCAGGATGACGTATAAAGACCGGAAATCAATGTCTGACGCCATTTTGAAATCCAATATGGCAGCTTCCGGTTGTAGAAAAACTGGGAAATACTAGCAAATACCCTTCAATATGGGTGTTTTTGAAATCTGAATGACATAAAGACCGGAAATCAATTTCTGACGGCATCTTGAAATCCAAGATGGCGGCTTCCGGTTATAGAAAAACTGGAAAATAATGTCAAATATTCTTCAATATGGGTATTTTTGGAATCGGGATGACATATAAAGACCACAAATCAATGTCTGACGCTATCTTGAAATCCAAGATGGCGGCTTCTGGTTGTAGAAAAACTGGGAAATACTAGCAAATACCCTTCAATATGGGTATTTTTGGAATCGTGATGACGTATAAAGACCGGAAATCAATGTCTGGCACCATCTTGAAATTCAAGATGGCGGCTTCCGGTTGTAGTACAACTGGGAAATACTAGCAAATTCCCTTCAATATGAGTCAAATACCCTACAATTTAGGTATTTTCGGAACCAAGAAGACGTGTAGATGCCGAAAATAAATGTCCGTTGCCGTTTTGGAATCTAATATGGTGGCCATTGGGTTAAAAAAAGTGGCAAAAAACCTACAATATGGGTATTTTTGAAATAGGGACGACGTGTAGATGCCGAAAATTGCAGTCCGAAGCCATTATGGAATCCCGATGCCGACCATATCGTATAATATTTTACACTTTTTCTAAAACAGGTGGTCACCATCTTGCATTCAAAATTGGCGTTGTACATCGATATTCGGCCTACACGCGTTATTTCCGAGGTGATAATACCCATATTGTAAGGTATTTCACAAGTTTTTAAAAGCCAATGCCTGCCATCTTGGAATCCAATAAGATGTTGGACATCGATTTTCAGCCTCTATACGTCGTCTCCTACACACTTAGATTTTTTGACGATATTAGCACCATCGAGTAGATCAGCATTTTATTTTGCTGGATCTCAGTGAAAACTTGCCGAGATTGAGCTAAAAACGGGAATTTTGCTGAGGTCTTCGCTAACAAACAGAAATTTCTCGGTAA